AGACTGAGAGAAATTAAATGACTTGTCCAGGGTCATGTGGCTAGAAAACATCTGTGGTAGGATTCAGACCAAGGTCTTCCAGGCTTCAAGTTCAGTGTTTTGCTTTATATATTATGACACTTAGCTTCCATATACATGCATACAAACATATATATACACACAGGAATTCCAAAGATATGGATTCTATATGGAAGATATCCTTCTTCTTTCCTGTTACAATGCTCTAGAAATAAAATTACATCCTAATTTTACTAATTGCAGGTAAAAGGTTGTGGGGTTCTTTGGGGTTAGTTGGTTGGTTTCACGGTTGAAAAGGCCTTTTGGCTGAATCCAAACTTCACAGAACAAATCATCTTAACAAAAGGATTTGTAAAACTTGGACTCAGTTAAAAGGCCGTACCCAAGGACCTAAAAGGCCACATGTGGTCTCAAGACTGCAGATTCCCCACCTGTGGTTCAGCCCACAGGTCCATACAAATCCCTGATAAAATATAGAAAAATGAACTCTGGAAAGTCAGAATGGGAGCTAATCACTGTAACATAAGACACAATTGACAGCTTTTTCAGTGGGAAATGCATTCATTACTATATTCCTCTAAATGCAGAAATTAAAAGTTACAAATACATATGTGATAAAGGAAATAGGAGGTGGTTCAAAGTCAAAGTGAGCAGGATGGAGGCATAGATTAGAATCTGTTTAGAGGTACAGCTCTTCAAACTTTTTTAATCATGCACCCCCATCCATAAAAATTTGTGTATACCTCCCAATTATTTATGTATATTTACTTATTACATATACCTACTAATAATTATATCTATATCATAAAACTTAAAACAAAAATTAAAAAAAGATCAGATAAAGATGAAGTCATATTTGATTCTAGAGTCAATAGGGAGCCATGGGAGTTTACGGAGTAGATCAGACCTGAGCTTTAGGAAAATCACTTTGACAGCTGTGAATCTGTGACCTCAAGGCCACATGGAGCCTTCCAGGTCCTTGGGTGTGGCCTTTTGACTGAGTCCATGTTTTACAGAACAAATCCTTTTATTAGGGAGATTTGTTCTGTGAAGTTTGGATTCGAGGGACTGCACTTGAGGACCTAGAAGGCCACATGTGGCCTCGAGGCTGCAGGTTCCCCACCCCTGCATTAGAGTGGAGAGGGGTGAGAGGTAGGGTGACTAATAAGGGGGCAATTACAATAGTCTAGGTGAGACAATTCCAAAGGACTCAAGCTGAAACATGACATCTACCTCCAGATGGAGAGCTGATGGACTCGAGTACAAATCAAAGCACATTTCTTTCTTCTTTGACTAATGAAGGAATTTGTTTTGCATGACTATACAGATTTGTAATGGGTTTTGTGTTTTTTTCCATGTGTGGTGAAGTAGGAGGAGGGAGGGAGAAAGTTTGGAATTGAAAAAAATAAAATTGAATTTTAAAAACAGTCTATGTGAGAAGTTATGAGGGGCTGAACTATAGCAGTCGCTGTGGAAGTGGAGAAAACAAGCCAGGGCTATAGAGGTAGCAATGACAAGATATGGCAGCTGATAGGATGTGCAGGATGAAGGAGTGAAAAATCAAAGATGACACCAAGATTATAAAAGTGAGTGACTGGATGGTGGTGACCATACCAATAACAGCGAAGTTACAATTAATTTGTCACCACCCATCCATGCCTGCTTATCCTATGCAATTCATCTGGTCTCATTCAAAAGAACAAGGGAGCGCGGTAGAGTGCAGTGGAGATCCTACTTACTGGTTGCTGACGAGGAAAGTGGGCTAAGTGTGTCTGCCCAAGCCACAAGGAGTTCTGAGGGGAAAGTGTGTGTGTGTGTGTGTTTAAATAGTATCTGAATTTTTGAAATGGCACTTGTATGACTAAGGTGCTATGACAGCAGCACTGATAGAGGTTGGGATCTAACTAAACTGAGGGATCTGAAGCCAGGTTCAGAAGTGGGTAGGCTAGTTTATTGCTCTGGGTAAGTGAAGGAGTGTTGAGAGTTGAGGGTAGGTGTTGTGTTGGAGACATATTGGTTCTGGCAAGGAACGTGGGATGTGGCAGATCCATCTCTCTATCCTCTAATTAGAGATACACAATTAGTAAATTAGTCATCCAGGGCTCCTTTGCAATCATGCCTGGTTCCCCACTATGAAGACCACTGGCCTAGAGATGAGCAGGATGACTTCATATTTATTCAATAAGCACTTATTAAGTCCCCACTACATGCCAGGCTCAGTGGATAGAATGATGGACTTGAAATGAGGAAGACCTGAATTTGTATTCTGCCTCAGACACTTAGCCATATGACCCTGGGCTTCTCTCAGTCTCAGTTTTCTTATCTATAAAATGGGAATAATAACGGCATCTACCTCACAGGGTTATTGTGATGACACACATGAGGTAACATTTGTGATGACACAAATGAGATAACATTTGTAAAATGATTTATAAACCATGAAGTGCAATATAAATACCAGTTATTATTATTATATGCTGGGGATACAAAGAAAAATGAAATTTTATTTGAAATCAGGACATAAGCTATAACAGTGTTTCAACTTTTTAGTCTAATAAATATTGGACTGTAAGCCATAATATGATGGTTCCATTAATGACTAATTAAACGACATTAGGCATGTCTTTACCTTCCTTAAGTACCTTTGCTCAAAAATTTGGATTCTTAATCCTCATCATTTCTTTAGTATATATATTTAGTCCTCCTAGGAACTACATTTCACAGACATAAGGAAATGAGTATACAATCCGTAAGAATTTTTTATAACTTGTAAAAGAGAGGGCTTATAGAAGCACAAAGTATTATTGTTTAAGCATTAACAAAGCCTTTATATTGAAAATCTGTGGGTTCTATGTGTTGAGTGTCAAGCATTCTGTTCAACTGCAAATGTTTGGAATATTTATTTGAATAGAACAGCTACTAGGACTCTCTAGGTCATAGGCTCACAGGACTGAGAACGAGCAGTGGCCTCAGAGATCACCTCGTTGAACCACCTCATTTTAGATATCACCTCAGAATGATACAAGTTTAATGACTTCATGCTGAATTGGACTCAAGCTTCAATCCTCTCAGGGGGCCCAGGCCTGCTTTCAGCGCTGTACTCAACTTTTGGCAGTGATCTTACTGCTGCTGGTTCAGGTCCCTGTTCCTGTCCTCAACTTTAATAAAAGCAGGAGCCCTTGCAATAATCCTCTGGATTCCAGTTAGGAAATGCTGTTCTTCAACTGTATATTGCAATTAAGCCAATCAGTTGAATGGAGGGAAAGTGGTATTGAGAGGCACTCACCAAACATCTGACTGTATCTCTTCTTGTGTCTGCCTCAGAGGCTCTCTTTCTTCCTGTAAGACATAGTTCATACAAATATTTTTTGCAAGTGGTCAATGGGCAAAAATTTATTTAGCTGGACTACATGTTTCTGCCAGAAGTTTTGTTTTTCTTTCTTTTTCAAGGAGGGGAGAATAGAGGAGGGGAGAGGGAGAGAAGGTGTTTTGAGAAAAATAAAGATGCAATGATTTTACATAACTGATTGCACATTTCTTGCCTTTTCTTTCTTTTTTTTTTTTTTGTTTTTGTTTTTGTTAAGGTAATTGGGGTTAAGTGACTTGCCCAGGGTCACACAGCTAGTAAGTGTCATGTGTCTGAGATTTGAACTCAGGTCTCTTGCCTTCTCAATAGGTGGGTGAGGGGCAGGAGGGAGAGGAATCAGAACTCAAATTTAAAAAAAAATGAATGTTAAAATTAAATCAATAATAAATTTATTTTAAAAAGAAAAAAAGGTGCAACTCAGAAACTATGTTCTCAGGATGCCTTTCCTGATCTCCTCAATTGCCAGTACCTTCCTTCTCATAGTACCTTGTACTTAACATTTGTATATCTATTATGCAAAAGTATTTATGTTTTCTATGATCTTATATGAACTTGTCTCCCTCATTAGAATGTAAGCTCACGGCAAGTAGGGATTGTTTCATTCTCTGTATTGGTATTCCCAGGGTTTGGCAGAGAGACCCGCACACAGTCCGTGCTTAAAAAACTACACACTGATTGAATGCATAAGGGCTAGGCACACAGGCATGCATCCCTTTGCCCACAAATGCCTCAATCTGGAAAACGTTTTGGCAGAATGAATTGGGAAGCAGCAGGGAGTGAGTTATCCAAGAAGCACCACAGCCTTGCTGAGAGGAGTTAGCAGGAGGCTGGAGCTATGGGGAGAAGGGAACCGCAAAGACCCCCCCCCAATGGAAAGCAGGGATCATTAATTAGATGAAGAACGGGAAGCGGAGAGATGGAGCAAAGAGGGTAGCGGCTTTCGCTTGGGGACCTGGTAAATGACAGTTCAGGTCGACGGACACACACACACACACACGTATATATACACACATACATACACACACAGACATACACACACACACAAGTAGCGGAATCCACTGCCCCAGAGCCGGGCCGGTCGGGCGCTGTCCACATCCCAAGTACAAGCCGGGTCTCCCGAAGGACAGCCGCCCCGTCCCACCTCGGGCCGCCGACCCCCCGTCCTGTCACCCGCCGCCGGCAGGCCTGGGGTCCGGGTCCCGCGAGCAGCGACCCTCCCCGCTCCGGATCCCCCCTCGCTAAGGCTCTCACGTCCCTTCCCCTCCTCGGCGCCGAAGTCACTCACCGCGTCCAGGGCTCTTCCCGCCGGGCCACCTCCAGCAGCGCGCTCGCCAGGCTCCCGCCCCCCCACCCCCAGCCCCGGTGCCCCCCCCTCCTTTCTCTCCTCTTCCCCTCCCTCCCTCCCCGTTCTCCGCCGGCCCCGCCCCCGGTGACACAGACCCCCCCACGCAGCCCGCAGGCGCGGTGGCGGAGGCGGAGGCGAGGCGGCAGCGGCGGCGTCCGAGCGCCGCGTCATCCCCCTGCCCCGCTCTCCGGCGGTGAGCGCGCGCGTGCTTCCGTGTGTGCGTGCGTGCGCGTGCCTGCGTTCGGGGTGTCCTGGGCAACTGCTCTAGGCTTCCTTAGCGACAGACTAGAGTCGACGGTGTCAGGGGTGGTCGCGGCGGAGGCTCTCCTCGGAGGCCTTGTGAGGCGAGGTTTGAAGAAGAGCCGAGTCGACCAACATGGCGAAGGGGAGAGGGAAGCAGAGAGGGAAGAAAGGCAGAGATAAGAAAGAGAAGTAAGGAGGGACCCGCGAGGCCCGCTGGGGGCTGGGCTCTTCGAGGGCGGGGCTGGGGGCGGGGCGATTCGCTTTGAGTTCTGGTTGTGTCTCCAGGCCCTGCCCTGGGGACCTGGGCACCCGCTAGAGGTAGAGGGAGGTGCTGCAGCCCGCTCGGAGCCGATCGTTAAATTTTCAGTGAGGGCATTTTACACCTCGAAAATCGACCGACGCTACAAATCAGCGCTGGATCCATAGTTTTGTTGATTGAGCAGACTTAAAAAGCTGATGGAGAAAATGTTCATAATGCAAATTAAACTGTGTCGTGCCCATTTTTCTTTTTGGAGGGGGAGGGGTAGAGCTAGTTGTTAAATATTTACCAGTACACCCCCGTGAAGAGGCAGGAAGGTAGAGGAGGGGTGGGCTGGTAAAGGGAGGCGAACCGCAGGTCCCTAATGTTTTCTATGTTCAGAAGCGATTTTTCATAAGATATTGGGCTACAGGGGATTCCAAATCACAAAACGTTAGAGCTGGAAAAGACTGAGATAAAAACTCAGCTCCAGGTTTTTTACTTAGGCAGCTAGGTGGTGGAGTTCAGATGCGCTGGTGATACTTACTAGCTGTGTGACCCTGGCCTAGTCACTTCCACCTCCCTTTGCCTCGGTTTCCTCACCTGTAAAATGGGGATAATAACAGCACCTACCTCACGAGGTTGTTGTGAGGATCAAATGAGATGATATTTGTAAAGTGGTCTGCAAATGTCAAAACACCACAATGCTAGCTGTTATTTTTATTATTAATACAGATGAAGAAGTGACTTGCCTAAGGTCACATAGTTGAATGGGAGAGTTCAGAACCCAAATTTTGAACTGGGAGGACCTCTTGACACTCAATCCTGTGAACTTATGTGCTAGGGTCCTTAACTTTTTTTGGGGGGGAGGGGTGCCATTTTAGCAACCTTGTGAAGCCTATAGACTCCTCAAAATAATGTTTCTAAATGCATAATATAAAACACATAACATTACAAAAGGAAACAAAATGTATTGAAAAAGTTATCAAAATATTAAAAAAAAAAAAAAGCTTCACATACCCCAGGTTAAGAAACCCTCCTCCTATTATCCAAACTTCAGTGAAGAAGTTCAAATGGTTTTGAATGATCCTAAAACAATTCTTCCATTTGGACAAGGATGATTTGGCCATTTGTAGATTGGGTACTCATTTACAAATCTGCAAATTTCTGCTTGTAGGCAGTAATAACATGCATTTGATATGATCTATTAATAATAGCTTACATTTATATCTCTTTAAGGTTTGTAGAACACTTTTACCCACATTATCACATTTGATCCTCACATTAGTTATGTGGGATAGGTCCTATTTTAGTCCTCACTTAACATATGAGATCTCTCACAGTTTAAATGACTTAAGATCACAGAGCTGGTAAATATATAAAGCAGAATTCAGACAGTTTGAGTGGATGAGTTTATCTACTTTCCCATTCTTAGCTTCCCAAACAAGGAGCTTCCAAAAGGCTGTTCTTCATGTTGTGTCATAAAACAGAATTTATTTATTGACAATTTAAAATAAAAACAAATTTCTGCATTGGCCAGATTATATATCTATCATATATGATACATACATATGTATGTATACACATATATACATACATATATTTGATATATACATACACACACACCTCATTCTATACTCAGTCTTTTACCTCTTTATCGGGAGGTGGGTAATTGTGGTCTGTTATTATTACTCTGATCACAGTTCCTAAGTCTTTGAAAGTTGTTTGTCTTTAGAGTATTGTCATTGTATAAATTGTTCTGGTTCTGTTCATTTTAGTCTGCATCAGTTCATACATATCTTCTCAGATTTCTCTGCAACCATCCCTTTCATCATTTCTTATGGCACGTTAGTATTTCCATCACATTTATATACCATAACTTGTCCAGTCATTCTCTAATTGATGGAAGCCCCCTCAGATTTCAGTTCTTTGCCACCCATCTTTGAGTTTGTTTTGCTTAGGACTGGTCCCTCCCTTAATATACTCTTTCTCTAATTCCTCTTCAGATTCCCTCCTTTTTCTCTATTGAGTAAAATAGATACGTAAATGAGAGTGAGGTTCTAGTGTCAGCTGCTTCCCCCATCCCTTCCTTCTTTTTTGTATAGACTTCTACTTGTGCATCTTGATTATAGGAGATAATTTTCCCAAACCTTCCTTTCCCTTATTCTCATAAGGTATTCCTCTTACTGTTCCACCTTCCCCTTTCCTTTCTTTATTTAAGATTATCAAGACATAACTGAAACATTGCTAGGCCTTCTGCCTAATTAGACTTCTTCTGTGACCTGTTATGATGATAGAGTTCAGAGGGGACATATGTATCATCTCTCCATATTAGAATGCAAACCTTTCATCCTCATTTGGTCCCTTAGATTTCAGAGTTTTTGCACAGCTCTGTTTTTCTCTTAGGAATGCTTGGAAGTTCTCTGTTTCATTAAAGGTCCCCCCACCTTTTTTGGCCTGTGGGATTATATTCAGTTTTGCTGGGTAAGTTATTCGTGGCTGGAAACCTATATTCTTTGCCTTCTGTAATATCATATTCTAAGCTATCTTTGCCTTTATGGTAGTGGCTGCTAAATTTGATGTGATTCTGACTATGGCTCCTCAGTATTTGAATTCTTTCTTTGTGACTACTCGAAGTATTTTTTCTTTGACCTGAAGGCTCTAGATCTATCTTGACTATGGTGTTCTGGGAATTTTCATTTGGAGGTTTCTTTCAGGAGGTGACTGGTGGATTTTTTCCCCCACTTTGCCCTCTAGTTATAAGAGATCTTTGCAGTTTTCCTTTGAGGTTTCTTGAAATATGTCCAGCCTTTTTTTTTTTTTTGGTCATGGCTTTTAAGTACTGCAATAATTCTTGAATTTTTTTTTCTTTTTGATCACTTTGGTCGATTATTTTTACTATGCATTTTCTTAAGTTTTCTTCCATTTTTTCAGCCCTTTGACTTTGTTTTAATATATCTTGATGCCTCGTGGAGTCATTGTCTTCTCTTTCATCCAATTGAATTTGCAGAGAATTTATTGCTTGGTCAAGGCTTTGTACGTCTTGTGCCAAGCTATTAATTCCCTTTCCAATTCTTTCTTGCCTAGCTCTCATATCTTTTTTTTTTCCTCTAGCGCTCTCATTTCATTGATAAAACATTTTTAACTTTTTATTTTAAACTCTTTGTTTCTTCCCTAACTTCTAGTTGAATTTGTTCCTGAGCTGTGTTTTCCCCTAAGGCAATGTTTGTAGATGTTTTAGTCATTCTCTTCTTCTGGCTTTGTATCTTGAGTATCCTTATTGCCTTAACAGCTTTTTGTGGTAGCATTCGTTTTCATTTATTTATTTTTGCTTGTTCTTCCAGTCTTCTTTCTGCTTTCAGATTTGATGTTAGGGCCAGGTTCTGCGCACTTCTGGAGAGAAGTACTGGGCTGGCCCTGTTGCTATTTTCTTGATATATTTAGTGTTGTCCTGTTACAGACTCTCAGGGACCAAGTTGGGAACTTGGTCCGATTGAGAACAAAGTCTGATTCTACACCCCAACTTCCCCCACTGCCCCTCTTCTCTACCCCAAGTTCTGCAAGTTCTTGACCTGGGTTTGGGTCAGAGCAGCAGCGGGCTGCTGCTTTACTCTTTACTGGATGTGGAATCTTGCATACATCAATCAATAAGCTTTGTGCCGAGCGCTATCTGGGGACACAAAGGCAGAAATGACACAGTCCCTACCCTTAATGAGCTCATATTCTGTCTGGATGACAGTGATAAGTATAGACAAGAGATATGCAATGGACAACACATGACATAAGTAAGTATATACAAGATGAAAAGAAATGTCAACTTTTAGAAAAAGGGCGTTAGTAGCTGGGATATTCAGGAAAAGCTTCATGTAGGTTAATGTAGAAGGTCTCTCTTAAGCAGTGTTTTGAAGGAAATGAGGAAGTATGAGAGATGGAGTTTATATAGGAGAGCATTTCAGGCATGAGGAGAGAGACCAGTGCAAAGGCTCGGGAACAGACGGGAAAGCGTCACGTGTGAGAAGCGGCAAGATGGCCGCTTCACCTAGGGTGTGCAGTTTGGGAATGGAAGTAATGTATATAATACAGTTGGTAGGAGCCCCGTAGTGAAGGGCTTTAACAGACACACTGAGGAACTTACGTTTGATCCAAGAGGCAATAGGGAACCATTGGAATTCATTGCGTACAGAAGTAACGTGGTCAGACCTGAGTGATTTGAGGCAGGGAGACCATTTTATTGCTCAGTCATTCAGTCATGTCTCACTCTTTGTGAGCACACCAGGCCTTTCTGTCTTCCACTGTCTCTCAAAGTCTGTCCAAGTTAATGTTCATTATTTCCATGACACTATCTATCCATCTCATCCTCTCCCATCCCCTTTTCCTTTTACCTTCGTGTAGGTTTTTTCCAATGAGTTCCATCTTCTTATAATGTGGCCAAAGCATTTGAGCTTCTGCTTTAGTATTTGACCTTCTAAGGAATAGCCTGAATTAATTTCTTTTAAGTATTGACTGATGTGACCATAAGAACTACTATGACAGTAGTTCAGTCATGAAGAGATGATGCCTTGAACTGGGTTAATAGTCAAATGACTAGAGTAGTTGGGTGGATATGAGAGGTAATATGGAGGTAAAAATGATAGGATTTGGCAACTGATTGGATAATAGGGTAAGAGTGAAGAGTCAAGGATGACATTGAAATTGTGAACCTGTATGACTGGAAAGGTGGTAGTGCTCTGAATAAAAATAAAAAGGAGAGTGGTGGTGTGATGAGTTCTGTTTTGGACATACTGAGTTTGAGATTCTTATTGGATATTCCATTTGAAATATTGCATAGGCAGTTGGAGATGTTGAATTGGAATTCAAATTATGGGGCTTAATATGTAGGAAATTAGATAGTTCCTGGAAATAAAGGCAGGAGTCTTAATAATAACAACTAGTATTTATATAGCACTTTAAGGTTTGCAAAGGTCTTTACATGTTATCTTATTTGATCCTCAAAGCAACCTTGGGAAGTAGGTACTAATATTATCCCCATTTTACAGGGGAAGAAATCTTCCTGACTACAAATCTGATACACCCCTTAACAGCCTTCAAGGAAGGGAGGCAAATTTATCAAATATTGTAGCTATGTAAATAAATTACAAAATATGGGGACTAAGTAAAGGCTTTGCTAATGAGTCTTAGTAGGTCACCTTCAAGAGAGCAATTTCAGTTAAATGATGGGGTAGAAATAAGAGTTTAAGGAAGTGGGTGGGTGAAAATTGAAGTGTAGCCTCTTTTACCAGCTTCCAGAGACGAATGAGATAATTCTCTGGAGAGAAAGAGTTGACAAATCATGTTAAGTTGTGGGATGAGAGAGTATGAGATCTTGCAGCTGAGCAAAGTTTGGAGGCAGTGAGATGAGCAGAGACTGAGACCAGATGTCTACCACAGACAGATGGGATACTTGAAACCAGAGAGTAGCATCCAGAGAACAGTAGTAAACATGTTCCCCATGGGCTGAGAAGGCTGGCAGTTGAGGATCTTTCTTTTTCCTTTTCATGTCCCTCCTTTCTCTCTGTTGAGATGGAGATTTCCTCCCCTAGAGTTTTCTGCTTCCTTTTTACAACTCTTTCATTCTGTCAAGTTCTGATTTGTTTAGATAGTCTGTTCTCCATTGTTTTGCTATGTATGACTGTAAATGATGTCTAAGTCTGATAAGGACTTGAGGATGGGATAGGGGAGGAGATAATTTTGTGAAAGTTTTTTTTTTTTTAATTTCATAGTTTTAAGTGTCTGAAGTGGGCTTTCGACCCAGGTCTTTCTGACTCCAGGCCCAGTGTTCTATCCACTGTGCCACCTTGCTGCTCCAAATAATAAAAACATTATTCTGGGAAGAGGTCCATGGGTTTTACCAGATTGCCAGAGATTCATAACGGTTAAGAAGCTTAAGAATGCCTGGTTTAGAATGAATTTGTAGTAGAATCAGCTGGCCCATTTTTTTTTCTCAATTTCCCCCTGAAATCCTGAATTGGGATTGTAGAAAGTAGTTACAGGGACTTGTCCAGGGTTATGAATTAGTAAGATGGGAAAGATGAAAGATAAAGGGGGCAAGGGATTCTCGGGTGTACAAGGGAATCAGTGAGATGGCTGACTAGGTGTTAGGACAGGAAAGGGTAGAGGGACCAGGGGCTTTCCCTTTTACTTTCTTCCTTTTAGAAATAAACCTCTTACTTATTTCTTTAATTTTTCTCTTTGTGTGAATACATGCTATTTTTAGACAGTTTTTCAAGTCTAATGACTTAATGAACAATTATATTGAAATAGTTATAAAAATATTTTTAAAAAGTAAGTTCATAGACTCTAGGTTAACACCTCTTCCCTGTTAGGCCATCTCTGCTGTCTCCTAAAACTACCATGCTCCATAACTTTGCTTCCGTAGTTCTAGCAGTTCCTGTAGAGTGCTGCTCTCTACCTTATTTCCACTCCTACCAGTTAGAAAGGGGTAGAGTTGGGAAAGCTAGGTGGCACAGCAGATAGAGCTCTGGCCTTGGAGTCAGGAGGACCTGAGTTCAAATTCGGCCTCAGACTAGACACTTACTAGCTCTGTGACCCTGTGCAAGTTACTTAATCCCAATTGCCTCACCAAAAGCAAAAAAAAAAGGGGGGGGGGGAGGTAGAGCCAAAAAACATCAGACCACATTATTTCTGCATCTTGGGCCATCTAGGAAACTTTTGAGCTTTTTAATACTCAACCTTGATGTTAGTGGATTATACTTGCCAAGAGAGATTTTAAAAAAAACTATGCCCTAGAGGGGAAAATATACTAATTATGAATATACTATTCTCATTCAGGAAGCTGACAAAAAGGGAAGAAATAGAATTAGAGAGAGCCAAGGCTAATGTTGCCCTTTGGGAGACCAGATTGGAAGTCTCAGAAATGTCCCGGGATGGATATCGTGAGGCTGTTCGGAGATTGGCACAATGTAATGAGGACTTGAAGAGACAGCAGTACAGAATGGAAAAAGATACAATGGCTGTGTTAAGCTACTTAAAGAGGCAAGATTTGCAAAAAGATCTTTTGGTATGTAGAAAACTTCTTGAATCTTATTTTACTGAATATATCAGCCCCGGTTGGACACACTGAACCGGACTCTAGCATAGTGATGTCATTTTTGTCCTCTTCGAGAACAAAGGACGACCACCAACCACCACTACTGAATATATATAGTAGTTTCGCTGGTGGACCAACTTAAGTTTGCTAAGGAGCTCTTCTAGGATATACAAACACAACTTAAATGCCTTCTACTGGATAGCCCTGACCTTCTCAATTCTTAGGGCTTTCTTCCTTCTTCTCCAGTATGCATTAAGCACTTATTTGATATTTTACAGTGACAGTTATGAAGTTTTTCAGTTTTTAATGTAATTTTGCCTGAATCTGTCAGTACATTAGCCGTTCTCCACTCTACTCTGGCTGTTAAAATTGATAAATCCTTTAAAATACTTTATTTAGAAATATGAAATACAAATTTGGGTCCTGTAATTCTTACTTTTTGTTTACATAATTTGTGAGTATACGTTTATGTTTTGCAAAAGTTAGAGTAAAAGCTCTCAAAATCAAGAACCAGGTCTCAGTTTCATACTTTTGAGGGCATGTTTTGATGTTTTGGGGGAAAGATCTAAAATCCTAAAAACACCTTGAAAATGTAGGGATAAATATTAAGCTCAACACTGTTATTGAATGTTTGCCCTTTTTTTGTGCCTGAGTGCTACAGTTTCCTCAGTCAATTCCCACCTTTAGTAAAGTCAATTTATTATAAAAATATGAGAAGTAAAGAAGTTAGGAGAATTATAAAACTGAGATTAAATATTGACAAATTATTTATTTAGTTAGCAACCACAATGTAACCATATAGGACATCTTCAAAGAACACAGAACTTGTACTGTTTAATTCTAAAGTGACATTTTAGATCAGACATACGATAATTTCTAAAATTCTTGCAGACACTCTGTGTCCTACGAAACCTTTATTTATGTATATTTACCATTAATAATTGGGTATTAGTTTATACCTATCAGTGCCAGCCATATTCCCATTTTCTTTTCTTTATCAATAGCCTTAGAAATATAAACATCTTTATCTAGCAGATGTTCCGATTTTTCCTACATAGATTTTCATAAAGACAGAAGAAACAAAGACTAGAAAGAAAAAGCACAATATAGTGTATTGAATTCATCAATGATTATTGGTGGTTCCATTATATCCTAGAAACATCTTTTAAATAGCACAGAGAAAATTAGAAGACTTTGCCCAAGAGTTAGCTTCTAAGAGTTAGATACAAACTATGAGAACAAAGAAATATATCTTCCTTAGGTGTAGGAAAGAAAAAAAAAACTAAACTAAATATTTCTGTAATCCTTGAGTGTATCACTGTATTACCATGTAGTAAAATATAAAATAATGGTCTTAATGGTAACTGAATCATCAGGAAAGGTGAGGGTTTTTTTTCAATTTTTTTCCAGGTAACCCTTGCAATATTTGTTATTTTCTGGTTTTGGTTGTTTGGTGAATATGGGCAGCTTCAGAGTTGCTTTAATTTGAATTTCTCTGATTATTAGTGATTTAGAATTTTTTTTTTAACATCACTGGTAAAAAGCTTGGATATCTGCCTTTGAGTACTACCTTTTCATATCTTTTGACCGTTTGTCAGTTGAGAAAATGGCTCTTATTATAAATTTGAATCAATTCCTTGTATATCTTGGACATAAGACTTTTATCGAAGAAAATGGTACTAAAATGCCTACTAAAATGGTCCCTTTTTCAAATTCATATCTTTGGAAGACTAGATTTTCATTATATACTTCAACCAAAACAAGATAATGTAATAAATTGAATGTAGCAGCAGATATGAGAATCCAGTTGGCTTCTTTTAAGTCAGACTTTTTTTGGTCCTCTTCTATCAACTTAGTGACTTTAATTGCACTTGAAGGTTAGGCTACATAGTAGGGGTACAGTATAGAACATTTTCTTCATTTTCATAGTTCTCCGTTTCTATTTTAATATAGATTGAACAACTGAAACAACAGATATTAGATGCAAATGACAAATCCAAGATTGACAGGGAAATTCTGGTGAGTAGTTTGTACTCAGCAACACTATTTCTCTAGTGGTAATGTTTCTGATAGTCTCCGTAGTTCAGAGCACAGTTGAGATCCTGAAATAGTAAAACAAAAAACAAAAAAAAAAACAAAGGGGACATAGAGCAACCCAAATAGTTGTCACAAAGGCTATGCATTAAATCAAATTCATGTATTTTATGCATTCGGAAAGCCTTCATTTAGAAGGAGGCAATGTATGTCAGTGGAAAGTGTGCTGACTTTGGATAAAAGGGTTTACTTTTAAATCCATGCTCTTCTACTTTCTATCTGTGTGACTTTAGCAAAGTCCTTTAATATCTTGGGGCCTTGGTTTCCTAATCTGTAAAATGAGAATGTTGGGCTAGATGACCTCCACAATCTCATCTCTAAGTGTCGGGTCCTATGACTCTTTTTCTACTTTGTTAATTCATCTCAGTCATGTCTGACTCTTTGTGAACCATTGGGGTTTTCTTTGCAAAGATACTGGAGTGGTTTGCTGTTTCCTTCTCCAGCTCATTTGACATATAAGGAAACTGAGGCAAACAGGGTTAATTGACCAGGGTCACATAGCTAAGAAGTGTCTGAGGCCAGATTTGAACTTATCAAGATGAGTCTTCTAATTTCAAGTCCAGTGCTCTATCTATAATGCCACCTATCTGGTCCTTCTTATTCCACAGGGACTTCTAATAAAGTTTATCTTGTTTGTGACCCTGCAACAGATAAGAAGTAAAAAAGTAGGAGATTAAGAGTATGCTGAAAAAGTGAAAAATAAACAAGTGGCAGCTAGAAGCAAAATAAAAGAAAAAATAGACATGAACTAGCAAAGAAACATGCATTCTTAAGAATGGGAAAAAAATAACCCTAAATATTTCTATAGCCCTTGAGTGTATCACTTTATTGCTATATAGTAAAATATAAAATAATATGCATAATGGTAATTGAATATATTAAGAAAGGGTTAAATTATGTATAACAGGGGCCCCTAAGCTGCAAATCAGAATCTAGGTATTATATAGGTCTCAAAGACCTACATGATAGGACTGTAAATTGATTATTAGTGCTATCCTATTTTTTACCATCCCACTCTTTCTCTTCTAATTGTTTTTGTCAGCACTAGAATTTCTGATAGTATAGAAATCGTGCTTGTAGGCCTTAACCGATAAGACTACATCTAAACATGGAGAGCTTACTGATTAGCTTGGTGATCAGAATTGGCAAATGCCTGTCTATACACCTAATAAATACTATAAGAACCAATATAGATTGATTCCTTCACTCCTGATTGTTTCCATAATATACTCCTTTTATTGGATAGCTTCCACTGTATGCTTAATGCAATCATTCCTATACTCAGATACTGAACTATCAGTAGCTAATTATTTCCTTTATACCTCTCACCCCCGTCCTCAGTAATCTCAGCACTTCCTCACAAGAAGATTAATGATCCTTGATGCATAATATGCACTGATTAACAAGACAAGTATTCTAAAATATAGTACATTTTAGAAAAATTTCCAATGAAAACAGTTAAAAATTTTAAAAATATCAGTACGTATAGAAGCAAACTTTATTTGCCTGGAAAAATCACTGATGTGGGAGCACTGTCTCAATCAGTACCCACAATTAAGTATGTTTTTTTTTTTTAATTATACTTTGCCTAATCAAAAAGAGGCAAACATACAGTATGCTAAAACAAATTAATATCAGAGATGTAGTTGAAAAATTTCAAAATTTTAATGAAAAACCCCAAAGATTTCTGCAGTATATTCTAATTTAATATAGATTCAATCCAGTCTCCTACCAATCTATATTAATAATCCTATATAATGAGTATCTGTTACATTAATAATAACCCTATGAAAATATGATCTTTAGGAAAAGATTGACTCTGCTATACTTAATAAGACACAAAAATATATTTTACTTTAACTTAGTCAAACATTAAGTACCTGCACAGTATAGAACTTGGCTAAACTCTGAGGGAGACCAAAAAATTAAGTAAGACAATATATGCTACCATCATAGAGCTTAAAATTTAGTAGAAAAGATTTTCAGCACAAAGGCTAAAACAGAAGAGGCTTTCAGTTTAACTCTCAGTTAACCAGAAAATTAGTCAGAAGCATATTTTCCATCTAATTAGTTGTAATATCTTGATAGATATTCTCTCCTGTTAGACATTCAATCTCTGTCCACTTAGCAACCTCTAATCCTAGGTTTAGCTCTTGTTCAGGTGTAAAAATTACCTCCTGTACCATTTTTTAGATGTTCTTATTACACTGAGCTTCAATAAAACATATGAATCTACTGATCTTTCTTAATACTAAACACTAACACTTTATACTAATTTTTTCTTAATTTCTTATTTACAGCAAGAACACTACTCTGTAAAAATTAATGAGTTGGAGGGGCAATACAATCAAAAGACCAAAGAAATTGGCTTAATTCAGATAGAACTGAAAACAATAAGGCAGTTTCAAAGGAGGAAAACTCAAATAGAAAGAGAATTAGAAGAGGTAAGATTCCTTTTTAAAATCATAACCATATTTTTTGTCATTATTTTAGAAGTTTGATTATATAAGGGGACAAATGACTGTCTTTGTCAACTTAGAGGACATCAAATTGAGAGAAAGAGAGGAATCAACTGAATTATCATTCACCAAGCATTTATCAAACACCTACCATGTGCTAAAGATTGTGCTAGGTCTTAGAGGCCTAAAGACAAATATGAAAGTGTCTTTGTTTCTACATAGAACTTAGTGCTGGATGGAAAAACTCTTGTTTGCTACTATTTTGCACAGATTGATAGGCCATATATTCTATAGTAATGAATATAATTTGTAAAAAAAATTAAAGTAGGGGGGCAGAGCCAAGATGACGGAGGGAAAGCAGTGACACGCTTGAGCTCTCCCCCAAACCCTTCTAAATACCTATAAAAAATGGTTCTAAACAAATTCTAAAGCAGCAGAACCCACAAAGAGACAGAGTGAAACAAATTTCCAGCCCAAGACAACCTGTATGGTTGATCAGAAAAGTATATCAGGCTGGGCTGGGAAAGGAGGGTGGGGTGGCGTGGGCGTGCAGGCTGTAGCAAACCTGGAGCAGGCCTCAGAGGACTGAATCGCAGGCAGCTGTGGCAGTTTCCAGACTTCTCAACCCACAAATGTCAAAGACAACTTAGAAGATCAGTGGGAAAAGTCTGTGACTTTGGTGAGAGAAGAAACCAGGTCTCAGCCACCCCGGGGTCCATGGCTGTTTCCTGAGCTTCTGGCCCACAGACTGAGGGGGAATCAAGTGGCTGATCAGAGGGGGATTACAGGGATCTCTTTGCCAGTGCTGAGGCAGGAATCTCTTGCTTTACCTGTGCTTGGATCTGGGTCACAGTTCTGAGGGGCAGTCCTGGGGCGAGGAGGAATGCTGATGTGGTGAAGCTTGTTGTGGCGGTGGAGAGAAAACACCTTGCCCCTTATCATACCACCTTGGAAGGACTGAAAATTTTCAGGTCCCTAGAAGTATCTCTGAAAACAGCTATACAAACCCCCGAAGCTTGGGATAGTACATTCTCCACATTGGAAGCAGACTTTTACCTTAACAAAGAGTTTAAAACTCAAGTAATTGGCTGGGATCATGAGCAAGCAGCGCAAAAAGAGTCAGACTATATTATCTTACTTTGGTGACAAAGAAGATCAAAACATACAACCAGAAGAAGACAACGAAGCCAAAGCTCCTACATCCAAAGCCTCCAAGAAGAATATGAATCAGTCCCAGGCTTTGGAAGAGCTCAAAAGGGATTTTGAGAAGCAAGTAAGAGAAGTAGAGGAAAAACTGAGAATATTGCAAGAAAATCATGAAATACAAGTCAACAGCTTGCTAAAGGAGACCCAAAAAAATACTGAATAAAATAACACCTTAAAAAATAGCCTAACCCAAATGGCAAAAGAGGTCCAAAAAGCCAGTGAAGAGAAGAATGCCCTAAAAGGCAAAATTGGCCAAATGGAAAAGGAAGTCCAAAAGATTACTGAAGAAAATACTTCCTTAAAAATTAGAATAGAGCAATTGGGAGCTAGTGACTTTATGAGAAATCAAGACACTGTAAAACAAATCCAAAAGAATGAAAAATTAGAAAACAATGTGAAATATCTCATTGGAAAAACAACTGACCTGGAAAATAGATCCAGGAGAGAGAATTTAAAAGTTATTGGACTATCTGAAAGCCATGATCAAAAAAAGAGCCTAGACATCATCTTTCAAGAAATTATCAAGGAAAATTGCCCTGATATTTTAGAACCAGAGGGCAAAATAGAAATTGAAAGAATCCACTGATCTTCTTCTGAAAGAGATCCCCAAAGGAAAACTCCTAGGAATATTGTAGCCAAGTTCCAGAGTTCCCAGGTCAAGGAGAAAATATTGCAAGCAGCCAGAAAGAAACAATTCAAGTATTGTGGAAACACAATCAGGATAACACAAGATTTAGCAGCTTCTACATTAAGGGACTGCAGGGCATGGAATATAATACCGGAGGGCAAAGGAGATAGGATTACAACCAAGAATCACCTACCCAGCAAAACTGAGTATAATTCTTCAGGGGGAAAAATGGTCATTCAGTGAAATAGAGGACTTTCAGGCATTCTTGATGAAAAGACCAGAGCTGAATAGAAAATTTAATTTTCAAATACAAGACTCAAGTGGAACATGAAGAGGTAAACAGGAAAGAGAAGAGACTTATTAAGGTTGAACTGTTTACATTCCTGCATGGAAAGATGATATTTGTAACTCATGAGACCTTTGTCAGTATTAGGGTAGTTGGAGGGGAAAAAATTATATATACGTATATAGATAGATAGATAGATAGATGGATGGATAGATAGAGGGCACAGGGTGAGTTGAAGATGAAGGGGTCATATCTGGAGAATAAAATTAAGGGGTGAGAGAGGATTATACTAGGAGAAGGACAAAGGGAGAGGTAGAACAGGGTAAATTATCTCACAAAAAAAAAACCCAGAAAAGAAAAGGCTCTTACAGTGGAGGGGAAACGGGGGAAGGTGAGAGAGAATGAGTGAATCTTATTCTCATAGAATTTGACTTAAGGAGGGAATAACATACGCACTCAGTTGGGTATGGAAATCTGTCTTACCCTACAGGAAAATGGGTGGGGGGAAGGGGATAAGAGAGTAGTGGGATGATAGAGAGGAGGGCAGATTGGGAAAGGGGGTAATCAGAAGCAAATACTTCTGAGGAGGGACAGGGTCAAAAGAAAGAATAGAATAAATGGGGGGTGGGATAGGATTAGGGGAAATAGAGTTAGTTTTTCACAGCATGTCTACTATGGAAGTGTTTTGCATAACTGCACATATATAACCTATATTTAGTTCCTTGCCTTATCAATGAGGGTGGGTGGGGAGGGAGGAAGGGAGAAAATTTGAAACCCAAAGTTTTAAAAACACATGTTTAAAAAAAAAAAGTTTTCACATGCAACTGGGAAATAAGAAATACAGGAAATGAGCTACAGAAATCCATCCTGCCCTACAAGAAAATTGAAGGGGAAGGGGATAAGAGAAGGGGGGGAGAAATAGAAGGGAAGGCAGACTAGGGGAAGGGGTATTCAGAATGCATGCCATCTTGGGGTGAGGGGAGGGGCAAGATGGGATGAAAATTTAGAAATCAAAATCTTGTGGAAGTAAATGTTGAAAACAAAAAAGTAAATAAAAATTACCATAACAAAATTAAAGTATATACATTTCCATGTATCTGTAAATCAGAATCATGGTTTGACCTTAGTCAGAAATTGATAGACTATTGCCTTGCACAATTCTTGAAAATTTCATAGAAGAGGCTGTTTCTGAGGGGGGGCATGGTGGCACACCCCTGTCATCCCAGCTACCAGAGAGCCAAGACTGGTGGATCTTGAACACTAGAGTTGTGAGAGATAATGGGCTGTGCTGATACGAGTGTCCGTTCTCAGTTTGGCATTAATAGGGTTAGTCCCCAGGATGTTGGGGGTGGAGAATCAGGTTGTCAAAGGAGGAAAGAACCAGCACAGGTGGGAAATAGAGGTGGTCAAAGCTCTGGTGCTGATCAGTTGTGAGGTGGGACCTGTAAGTAAGGAGACCGGTTTTTGTTTTTGTTTTTTTGTAATTTTTTTTTTTTAGTTTAAACTTAAATACAAAACGAGAAAAGAAAAAAACATTGCCATGTACACAGCAGACCATAAGAGAGGATTCAATATAAAACAATAAATTTCCATTTCAAGAAAACCTATATAATAAATACTATATGTTGTTTTCAAAGCTGGCCAGCTTTTCTTTGCTTCCTTATTGGTTTTCTTTTGTTCTCTGCTGTGCGCTTTTTACTTTATTTTTTTTCAGTTCCCTTCCTCGTCTACCCTAAAGAAGGCTACAATTAAGCATGGATATATACATATACATAGATATCTGTAAACATGCACATATATACATATACACTCTTACAACATATATGTAAGAATACCATGTTTATTTCCACTTGTCATCTGTTTCTCTGAAGGTGGAAAGCATCTTCCTTCTTAGGTCCAAGTCTTTCCATGTTTTTCCACATCAGCTCATTTCCTACACCATGGCAATATTCCAACCCAATCATATCCTATCTGAGACATTGTCTATGAAAATTTTTTCCCCAATTTTCTGCATTTCTTCTATTCTTGGCTACATAGGTTTTATTTATACAAGAAAATTTTAATTTAAAATAGTTGAAATTATCCTTTTTGTACTTCAGCGTTGTTCTCCCCTATAATATAGTTTGAAGTCTGAGATTGTTGAATCTACTTCCTTTACATCTTTTTTCCTGGTTTTTTGAAGTTCCTGACCTTTTGCTCTTCCAAATGAACTTTGTAATTATTTTTTCTAACTCAGAAAAATAATTTTTAGTAATTTAATTGGGATGACATTGAATAAATAGATTAATTAGGTAGAATTATGATTTAAAAATTATATTGGCTTGAGCAATAAATTGAACAATAAGTATTACTTCAATTATTTAGATCTGAGTTTATTTGTATAAAAAGTGTTTTATGTTTATATTCATATAATTTCTGTGTTTGTTTTGGCAGTTATTTGCTCGGATATATTTTTTTCTGTTTAGGTATTTTAAATGGTCTAAAACAATGTTGAATGCTATTGCCAACACAGTGTAGTTTCTTTATTTTTCACTTTTTTTTTTTGTTGGTTTTTGTTAGGCAGTGGGGTTAAGTGACTTGCCCAGGGTCACACAACTAGTAAGTGTTATGTGTCTGAGGTCAGATTTGAACTGAGATCCTCCTGATCCCAAGGCCAGAGTTCTATCCATTGCTCCACCTAGCTGCCCCTATTTTTCGCTTTTGATTAACTTTAACTTTGTCTGAGATCATGATTACTATCCATCATTTTTTTACCTAATAAATTCAACTTCTGCCCTTTGTTTTATCTTTTTTATCTCTCATTTTTATAATGTTTCCTGAAAGCAACACATTGTTGAATTCAGACTTTTAATATGCTATCCATTT